ACTTAAAAATATACTTGAACTTTACTTAAGTATACTTACTAAAATAAACTTGAAGTATACTACTTTTTGGTAAGGGTTGACACGTGAAGATGTGATACTTGTACTCCTTTAACCTGGTAATGTAATGTGACTATAAAATGAAACACACAGTTTATTCTGACTGTATTGGTATTCTGCTGTAAATTCATACTAATTACAATTCAACTAATTTAATGTGGTTTTTTTTTCTTGAGGGCTTGACATCAAAATGTTCCTATTTTGCCCATTTTGTACTACAAAGTGTATCACATTTGGATCTAAGCATGATATTAATATCTATCATTTGTCTATTTCAACAAAAAAACAACATTAGGTGTTGATCTTGAAAATAAAACCGATTAAATATTAAGTAAATGTTAGCTTACCTTCATTTTTCACCTTCACTCGAGCATTATAATGTAATTTTGTTGAACTAACATATGAAATGCCCATGAACAGCGCACAAAAAGACGTCCAGTCCATCTTGACTCGAGAGTTTATGACAGAGAGAGTTGAATGATTCAACACTCAATATTTGTCAGACTTAAGTTTACATAACTTCCTCACACAGGCGGGGCGATTATTAGTTCAACCAATCCTTATCTTTAGTCATGTGTACACTTGTGATAATGACAGGTCCTTCAAATTCTGCATTTGAACCCGAGTGAATTTTAATTCTACACAAAGTTTAATTTAAAGAAGCAGAATCTGATATGAACTCGTACAATCAGACATGTGTGAACAAACCGTTAGAGGGCAGTGTAAAACAGTCTGAAGCAGTTTAAACCAATTACTACATTGTTATATTAAAACTAGTAAACTAAAACTACTGCGCATGCGCTACATGCAAAAAAAAAAAAGTATTGTTCAAAACAAACAAATCTAGTGAGTAACAAAGCATGTGATGTGAGGAGACGAATATATCTTGACCTAATAGTTTTAAATAACTAATAGCATATGTGCATAATTTGGTTGATCACAAAGGTGTAGCCAAACTCTCCTCTTTTTTCTTTCTTTGCACAGATGTGTGTTAAATAAGGGAAATGTCCTAAATGTGCAGTGCTGATGTTTTTAGGCACAAGGATTGAAAACCATTGTATGCTTCTGTTTTGTGACAAGTGATAACCTATTGCTATTTGAAGAGTTGTATAAATAGGGCCATCGTTAGAGACCCCTGGTACTAATGGCTTTAAATAATGCAAATTATAAATCTATACGGCATGTTTTTTAAGTAAATATTTGTGTGCTTTTGCTCAAAAACTAGGCAAAAACTCAGCAGGACATCACTGCATTGAAACCACTGCCACAAAGAGTCATCTTCAGCTGCAGAATTAATATAACGAGCTTGCAATTTCATGCCAGAACTTCCAGAGAAAGAGAGAGAGCTACTCTCGGTGAGCTTTTATTATTTATGATTGGTCACAAACAGTTGTCACTGTCATTCCTCTTCTGCAGAACCTTTTCAACTCACTAACTTTTAAAAATTAATATGCTGCGTTGTGAATTAAGGAAGTAATTCGATAAAAGCTTATAATAGAATTTCTCTGAAATCTGCTCTGGTCAAGCTCAGACACTCATCATCTTTATTAATTATAACTTAATTGTTTATACAAGGATGCAAGAAAATGTACAGGACGTTCATACAGCCAGTCAGCGTACACAACGGTGTCATTTTTATTATTTGTACAACTTTGTTCTTTTGATATGTTGAATATCAATACAGAGCTATTTTACAGTTTCTACCATTATTGCGTTGGGGAAAAAATATAGTTAAATTAGTGGGGCATGCATGCTATTTATTTGTATACAGTGTAGGCCTATCTATTTCCTGCTCTTTGATGCATTTTTAGCAATAATTTAAACAGGAAAAGAATTTTAAATTTGAAAAGGATTCATTATATCACATTTTACTTGGCAAATAAATAATGTAGGCTAATTTGTCTGCTAAATGCAAACATGTAAATGCAACTGTCCCAATGGAAATGTGACAACGTGCCCCAACCTGAGATTTATGATAAATATCCTGCTGAAAAAAACGCTTCTATTTATAATCTCGCCGGGTTTGAGTGCATTGCTTCACTAATTCGAATCGTCTCGTACCGTCACGCATCAGCGGTGAACCGAATTGATTTCTCCGCTGCGGAGCAGACAGCAAGCACTAGTTAGTCAGATTTAGCTGCTGGTTTGAGGAGCTTGTCTTTGGGAATATGCAGATGGAACTTGAAGGTAAGAAAAACACCTGTCTGTTTTTGTGCATCTAATATAGATGTTTTATTGATTGTTTTGCATGCTGGTTCATTGATAATCATGAGGAAGATAGGCTATGTCATGCATGAGTTTTTATACTATGCAATACCATACACTAAGACAAAAACAGCACCTTAAAGCAATTATTTAAAGGTCTGTAAAATGTTTAAAATCAAGCTTTTTATGTTCACAAATATGCACATGAGAGATTTTACTAAATATACTAAAACGTCAACCAAACACAGCTGGCACGTGACTTCAGTTGACTGATGTTTTATTGATTGTTTTGCATGCAATTCTCGTTTGGTGCATTGATAATCATGAGGAAGATGTCATGCATGGGTTTTATATACTATACCATACTGCAGTATACTAAGACAAAAGCAGCACCTTAAAATCAAATAGTTTTTATGTTCACAAATATGCACATGAGAGATTTTACTAAATATAGGCTACTAGAAAGTCCACCACAGCTGGCATGTGACTTCACAGTTGACTGTTATTGATTAGATTAATTGAGTTATATGCATAAAGGTCATTACGAACTTTGTTGGTGGGCGGCACGACCAAACTGCTATGAGTCATTAAAATTATTGATGAGGTTTATGAAATCATGCTGCAGTATATTCAGTGCCATGCTATTATAAACAGTGCTGGGGAGTAACTAGTTACATGTAACGGGATTAATTACAAAATGAATGTAACTGTAATCTGTTACAGTTGCTTAGAAAAAAAATGTGTAATTAAATTACAGTTACTTATGAAAATGTTATGGATTACAAAGGAGGTTACATCTGAATATTTTCACACACATACAGATTTGATTGAATTCTTTCCCAAATTGCATTAAATGCTCTAAAATATGAGACACTAATGTTTCAGGAGATTAACTGATTTTTTTGTTTTCCCCCCAAAATCATTGTTAGATGTGTTTCCTGTCATCGCAAAGATTTCATTTCAAATCTATTAAACTATCTTATTTTAAATCTGTATTTAACCTCAGAACTATCTCAAAGTAAAAAGAGGTGCTAAAGTCTGATTTTGTGGTGGCTGCGCTTTAGAGTTAAATTATTAGAATCTTAATTAAAGTTCTGAAGGATTCTGAAAGTCTGAGAGTAATCAGTGTTGAGTTCTACTGGAAGGTTTACCCTGCCTGCTTTAAATGTTTCAAAATTATTTTTTACAGCTGAAGACATTCGTCTTTACTTGTCACACAATTTCTGAAAGCTGGCACTCAAACAGCAGAAGCACGCACCAAATCTGCAAAACCATACACTAATTCTCAGCCTTTGACTCTTTTTGCAAACACAACACACAGTTCTCTATGTAACACACAAACATCTAACAGGAATTAATATTATGGCAAAGGTGTTTGCAAATGTTTGCTTTTGAGATGTGTTTGTGATATTTTGAATGCAGTGCGTCATTTTGCGAGAGATGTGAGGCATTTTGCATTTTGTGTGCAATTCTTGGATTTGTGTGTAAAGTTATGAAAAAAAGAGGCAAAGTTTTGAAAATGTGTGCAAGCAGTTGAAAAAACTTTAAATAGGGTCACTTGTAATCTGTAACCTATTACATTTCCAAACTAACCTTCCTAACACTGATTATAAATATATTCAACTGAGGCTTCAGAAATTATTATTATTTATGCATTTGACAGACGCTTTTATCAAAAGCAACTTACGTTGCATTCAAATGTAATAATTTGTGACCTGGACCACAAAACCAGTCATAAGGGTCTATTAATTGTGATTTATACATCATCTGAATAAATAAGCTTTCCATTGATGTATGGTTTGTTAGGATAGGACAATATTTGGACGAGATACAACTATTGAAAATCTGGAATCTGAGGGTGCAAAAAAAATCTAGAAAATCATGTTGTCCAAACACTCTTAAAAATAAAGGTGCTTCAAGATGCCATAGAGGAGCCTTTGTTGTTTGTTGTGGTCCATAAAGAACCTCTAACATCTGAAGAACCTTTCTGTTTCACAAAAGCTTCTTTGTGGCGAAAGAAGGTTCTTCAGATTATAAAAAGGTAAGAAAGAGATGGTTCTTTGACTGAATGGTTCTTTGTGGAACCAAAAATGGTTCTTCTATGGCATCGCCGTGAAGAACCTTTCAAGCACCTTTATTTTTAAGAGTGAGTGAAGTTCTTAGCAATGCATATTACTAATCAAAAATTAAGTTTTGATATATTTACGGTAGGAAATTTACAAAAT